CATCACCATGTGTCCCCTCTTCTTCATGTCTCTTCTACATCAACATGTGTCCCCTCTTCTTCATGTCTCTTCTACATCAACATGTGTCCCCTCTTCTTCATGTCTCTTCTTCATCACCATGTGTCCCCTCTTCTTCATGTCTCTTCTACATCAACATGTGTCCCCTCTGTGGAAAGAGACTCTGAAAGTTTCAGGAACAAAGATTCTCTCTCTTTTTGATCCATTTCTATAAAAACCTGTCTGAAAATGAGCTGATGAGATTTCGGCCACTTGATGATGTCATAACGATTTTTTGTCTTGTGTAACCATTAGCCAATCAGCAACCAAGGTAACCCCCCCCCCCCCACTTATCACCTGAATCTCCTCCTAGAGCACCATTGAGTTCTTTGTAACCAAATGTCTCTCAGAGGGGCGTGGGGAGGGGCTCCTTATTTTCATCTGAAGTAACAGACAGAGAATCAGCACTTTGGAAACAGGGCTGAAACAGAGGGGATTATGGGTAATGCTGCAATGATCTGTTTGGTGTTTCAGCCAATCAGAGACAGGCTCTGGATCTATCTGAGACCTGTGATATATTGATGAGAAACAGTATAACAGGGGACCTTTAACATTAACACCAGCATCATTCATACTGTGTGTTGCCTGATGGGCGGCTGTGGCTTGGTTGTCCACCAATCGCAAGGTTGGATGTTATATTCCTTAGATCCTTTAGTCAACATGTCGATGTGTCCTTGGGCAAGATATTTAACCCCAAATGGCTTGACCAGAGTGTGTGAAGTCTCTCTGAGCACCTCTGCCTCTGTATGAATGGGTGTGAATGCTGACTTTTAAATGTAATTGAGTGGTCGCTAAGACTGGAAAAGTGCATTTACTATGAAGATATTTCTAAGATGTATGATTCATTAGCACTGGTGCTCCTTGCTTGCAGCTGGAGAATACTAAAGGCTAAGCATATTGCAATATACTGACTTTCTAATAGGTGCTGTGTTTCACTACAGGTGCTTGTAATCCTTCCCTATTTCCAACTGCACTCTTAATATGGCTTATACTAAAAGTGTGTTGCTTTGATGCAACCCTAACCCTAACCCTAACCACTGCACATGGATTCAGAAAAGCGCTGTCCCGAGGCCGCATTAAGACGCAACCAGTAGGAAAGAACGTGCAGCAGACTGTTTCTGCCTCTGATAAGCGTGCAAACTCGCGATTACTCCATGTGGATTACATTTGATCTCCTCACCAGAGCCTGTAGCAACACGCCCACGCCACAGCAGCTCCTTGAGAGGTTCTTTTATCACAGAGCTGTTTTCACTTGCAAAGAGGAGGTCATGTCCTCGGTGTTGTTTGTGTCTCCGTGTATTGTTAGGTTCATGACCCGAGGAGGAGTTAACATTCTGCATTTGCTTACGCTTTGTTCGTCGGGGATTTTGAAGACTGGCTGTGACTTTTGGGGGAAAGTGATTTGATTTGAATGTTGGTAAAGGGACTTCCAGTATATCACAGCAGTGAGGAGAGAGCATGGAGACAGGTAGGAAGATCAACAGGAAATATGTTTAAAGTCAGTTTGATAAAATGTACTTATTTCAGATAGTTTGAAAATACCACTTGTTGTTTGTGTTGACGAGTCTACAAACCCAGTGGGGGACTAACATTTCAAAAATCCCTGCTAGCAACCCTATTTGTTTTGTCGTTGGAACCAAAATGTGAAATAAGTTGCCAATAAGAGTGAAAATATATTTTCCAGGATCTCAACCCTAAATCCACAATTGTCTTGTTCCTCAAAGTTATCCTGATCCCATAACTCCAGTGAGTCTTCAGATGTATTTCTTTTTAGATATAGACATGAATGTGTAGAGCATGGTGCTTGATGGCACGAGAGAAATGTTTTTATTCAATTTAGGTCGAACGTTAAAACCTTATTTGTACACATTCACCATGTGCATGATATATAATATTAGAAGTAATACAAGTAGGTCAAATAGGCATGATAATCAAATAAATACATCCAAAAACTCACAACAGATATCCCACTCAGTTAAAGTAAGAAAGGCATAAGACAAAATTCATAAATACAACAAAATAAATTAAGAAATAAGTCATAAATAAACATTATATTAAGACAAATTATAAAGGTGACAATACCAATTAAAGGGGGTTTTGCTCGATTTATGGATACAATTTTTTTTATAACATGCTGATGTCAAGTCAATCTTGTTTAGCTTGAATTAAAAACCACACATTTTCCACAAAGTATCAACTGTACATCATAACTACCCTCTTTAGGCCCTCAATGTCGAGAGGAAAAACCATTAGCATCCAGTTTAGTTCATGCTAAACATAGCTGTGGATCAATACGTGTTGTGTATGATCAGCCTCCCACTAACCCGAGGTAATCCTTCAATGCGTCCAGATTTACTCATATTTTCCACTTCCTGTTGTTGATTCCCCGTCTTTATCTATATGTTCTCCCATCCTCACAAGCATTATCCTAGCTTGCTTTTATCCTGTTGATACCACTGACATCTCCGCCCTGAGCAGGGCATTAAACTCTAATGTGCTCATTTCCCCCGGCCTGAAATGACTTCACTATCACGTCTGGTTCACCCTGAGACCGCAGAGAAATTATTTGGCTGCTATTGTCAGAGGGAATTAGCAGAGAGAAAAGAGAGTCTGAAAGCCTGACGGACACCAGCTGAATGGATGTTATTTACAGCAGAGAGATGCGCTGTGCTAATGATGAGTGCAATAAAACAACAGCGTTACCGTTAGGAACCGTTAGAAAGCAGAGCTCAGTGCCACCTGCTCGATTACAGCTGCTGCTCCATAACAGTGATGGAGGGAGAGTTAACATGGTTCACACAAATCTGCATTAAGAAGGGAGTATACCACGAAGACAGTTTAGAACATATATTTAAAAACCAAAAGCGTTTTTTAAACTTTTTATTAAAATATTCTGTATTTTTTTAAGAATATGAAAATAGTTTTAAAAAAAAATTAATTTTAAAGGTCACCTATCATGCTATTTATAGGCAATAGCATAGGTCTCAGATATATACAAATATATAAAAAACATGTCTATGAAGTGTTTTGCTCAAAACACCAAACAGATCACCCATTCTAGCCATGCCTCATATCCCTCTATTTCACTTCCTGTTTCAAAAGTGCTGATTTGGGGTATAAAGCTTTAAAAAAGGAGGGGTCTGAGCTCATGCGGGACCCGGCAGCTACTGTCTAAACTAAATGCTGCCGTGATGAAAACGCCATATCATGGATTATCAAGGATTCTCTCTGAAACAGTATGGAGCTCAAAGGCTTTCTCTCTTGCCGGTTATACCACAAGGTGAGTTCCTTTTTATTTCCTGCTTCTTCACACACATGCTCTCCAGTACAGGTTAGCTCTGAGTGTTAGCGATGCTAATATAAACACCGACCATATTACGTCCAAAACAGTCGGGCATTGTTTCTGATAGCAACGTTTCTGATTGGGCCGTGGGTCCACATTTCCGATATTACGTCATATCGGACGCAAATCTGGATCAGCTCCGTTGTAGCCCCGTTTTTAGAGATTTGGGTACGGAGGAAAAGAGAGGGTTTTATTTTCTGACGCTGCGTGAGTTCCCTGACACACCGGGGACACATATTTATGTATAAAGTGAAAGTGCATTTTGCATGATAGGTCCCCTTTAAGTTACCTTTCAAATATAAATAAGGAGGAAAATAGTAGAAAAATATGAAAAAAATATTTTCTTTCAAAAGTTTGGGCATTTCTTTAAATTGTTGATTTAAAATTAAGATGATTCAGATATTTATTGCTGATTCTTTTTTTAATAATTAGGACATAATTCCTAGGAGGTAAACAACTTCATAAACATTGTTCTGAAGTGTTTCAATGTTTTGAAAGTGAAGGATTTAGTATGAGTATGAAAATTGAAAGTGAGATTTAAGCTAGGGGAATGATAAGCTGTGTGTGTGTGTGTGTGTGTGTGTGTGTGTGTGTGTGTGTGTGTGTGTGTGTGTGTGTGTGGTGTGTGTGTGTGTGGTGTGTGTGTGTGTGTGTGTGTGTGTGTGTGTGTGGGTGTGTGTGTGTGTGTGTGTGTGTGTGTGTGTGTGTGTGTGTGTGTGTGTGGTGTGTGTGTGTGTGTGTGTGTGTGTGTGTATGCAAATGAACCCCAATGTTGCTCTCGTTTGTGCGAGCCATTATCCATAACTTTGCATGTGCAAGTGTGAATTTTGAAGGTAATTGTAGCGGCTTTTTGTGAGCCTTTCTCCTCTGGCCTAAACAACAAAATCCCACGGCGAGGGCTGCAAGTCGCCCCTCTCTCTCCCTCCCACACACCCCCCCACAGGGAGAGAAACACAAAGATAAACACGGTAATGCAACACATGGGTAACTAAAAGCCTTGCACCAAAAACACACACACACACA